GCCCCACTCTATTCTTTTGTTGTCGGCAGAATTTCCCACTGCTGCTTGGGCTCCTGGTACAGTCGCAGAGGAAGTAGCAGCCGTTACTTGGTTACTAGTTGTAGTAGTAGTGGGCAGGATCAGTCCACCTTGCAAATCTACGCCTCTGGGAGCTGGTTGTCCAATGGATGGATGGGATTGGAGTACTGGGGTTTCACTGTGGCTCACGGCACGGGACTTTGTTGGACAAGGACCTTTTTCCGCAACAGCACCGGGCCTTACCGGACCTTTGTTGCCAGACAATCCGATTTTCGTGGATCTCTTGGCATTAGCCTTCACGGACGCGTCGTCAGCAGCAGAAGAGCGGCCACCTCGTATCTTGTTTGCAGGAATCAACGGATCTGGCTCCACCGATGGAGCTGTGAAATCGGTAGGTCGGCCATTGTGGTCCTCCATTTCGGTTGTACCGGTAGTAGTCGGGTTCACTACAATCTCTTCTATTTCCTCTTTAGACTCGTCCTCTTCTTCTTGAATCTTCGGTTTTCTCTCCTCCTCCTCCACATACTTAGCTGGCTCTGATGATTTCGCCATGGTTACATGAATGTCACTGATGTCAAGCGATGTACTGTGTTGATTGATAAAAGGGTTCGCTCCTGCCTTTACTCTCCCTGTGAGGCGTACCGGTGTGAGACTCCCTCTCAACAAGACACAATGCCATCATGTGCATGGCATTTCGAGGAGCTTCCGAGCGCAAGTCGGGAGGTCACAAACACCTTCGTAACCTTCAACCATTTTCTACTTTTAACCTTTATTTCTATCATTTTACTACTAGTATTTGTTTTATATCGCTTTTTGTCTTCCATAGACTTTTTTTAAATTAAAATTATTAAAACTACTTTCCATCATCTTGCACACGGGAGTGTTTCATAGTTTTGTTGGTTGGGGATAATGAAAGATCGGCTAAAACTACCGGTATAGTACAGCACCGATACCTGGTACTGGTACCAAAGGACCTTCATACCGTACCAATTGCTACCGGTACCAGTACCAGGTAGCTATTAATAGTAGATAGGAGAGTGATGGTCACTATTACCGAAAATTATTACTAGTAACCGTACCCGTACAACTTGCGCGACTGAAGACTTAGATAGTTTTAGGAGTTACAGCAGTCACGTGACGTGACCGGACGATGCGCAAGATGGCAGTCTTGAACCAGAATTACCTGGCTGGCTAGCTTTTAAAAAGAAGAGTAGGAGGTACACACAAGCAGGGCCACGAAACAACAGGGCAGCCACCGCCACTATTAATAGCAAGCCAGACCAAGCAGAGAGCCCATGGCTCAAGTAAATGGAAAGGCGGCAACGAGGTAGTTGGGTCCCGCTCTTGCCATGGACCGCATTAACGGGCCAATTACCCTGGCCCGGCATTGGAAGAACCCTGCTACATAGCTTTGGAGGCCTGCCAGGTTTCTTCCTTGTAACATCAGGACCTACCGTACCTGATTCCCACGCATATCAGTTCCCAACCAAGCCCAGGAAGCAGGCTCCAAATCATTTCCCAACAAAGTAGCTGCTGGCTCAACACTCAACACCAAGACCAACATCTGGTACAACTCCTAATCCTAAGCGACTCGCGTAACTCTGCATGGGACCCGCACCAAAAGCGCCTACGCCATATCCCACGGGCTGCCTAGCCCAAGTCCTTGTCGCTCGCACACGAGCCAACACGGTCCAAGGCCCCACACGGTTCGCAATAGTGGGAAATTGAGTTGCCTGGCCCATCACATACAATTTACAAGCAATCCAGACAGAGAAATGGAGGCGCTCTCACAAACCCCGGCAAACAATCAATGCTCTGGCCGAAGATCGTTCGCACCAACGGTGCCGAAGAAGCAAAAAGCTCCAATTCAGTTAGTTCGATTCGATTCTGTATTCTGTGGTCGTGCACTGTTTTACAGTAGTTAGATAAGACTACACTTGGCCATTTCGGCTTCCTTGGCAACTTTCTATTGCCGGGAAGCGTCATTAAGGCACAAGACTGCTCCTTTCGTCGTGAACTACCGTCCATGGTGAACCAACCAAATGACGACTACTACTGGCGCAAAGAAAAAGAAGACGCAGAGACAAGGCAATGCCCCGGTGCCATCCGTCGTCAAGTATCATTTCACCTCGTCGTAAATGTACTTCCAGTCACATGTTGTACTTTGAGTAGTGGATTGGTCTTCGCTGCAGTGTAATGGCAGCAACCTTTGGTCGGCCGTTGCCGGAGCCTCGCCATGGCCTTGATTGTTTCTTAAAGGAAACACCATTACTAGTAGGAAATGGGCTACCGGTAAGGGAAAAGGTGAAGACCACAGGAAGACCCAACAGAGATGTGTACAGGGAGGAAGAAAGGGGTTGAAGCAGCTGTGCGGTGCCTCAGCAGCGAATGAGTCAGAGTGACAGTCAGTGCGTTGGTTTGTTGTGTCTTGTGTTTTGGTGTTGGCGGCTGCGTACAATTTTATTGTTATTTTTCATAACGACTGGTTAAGAGTTACATGTAGCTAGTCGGGTCATTTTATGTTTTCGTCGAGATGTTAGACTAGCTAGAAGGATCTATCGAATGAATGCTAAGGAGAGGGATAGAGGGCTACTAAAGATATTGCCAGTCTACCATAACATAATAATATGAGGGTCAGTTGAATTTGGTGCCACAATTTGGTGCCGGTGCAGTTCTCCTGCACTGTCCTCGCACCGCACTGCACCAAAATTAGGGGCACTTCAACTAGCGTAACTAGAGTAACTGACGTAACTAGCGTAACTAGCGTAGGGTAACTGACGTAACTGGCGTGCAACTGATGTAACTGGCGTAGAACATTGGAGTAACTGACGTAACTGGCGTGCAACTGATGTAACTGGCGTAGAACATTGGAGGACGACTAACGTGGTCGTCATTTCAACTAGCTTTGTATTGCACTACGCTAAAAGCTAGTGTAAAGATCTTTCGAGTGTTTTGAGTTTGAGAGAATGAAAGTTATGAGAGGATTAGAAAGCTATGAAAACTAATCAACGAGAGAGATCCACAATCAAAGGATCGTAGATCTGAACTCCCGCGGGAGACTGTAGAGTGTGATAGAGTAGGTTGCGGTAGCAATCCTACTCACTCCACGATCCAAAAACGGAACGCGTGGAAGATTCGTCTAGCATTTATCTAGTAGCGTGGAATGTCTCCACGCCAGCTAAATATCTAGCGCGATGTTTCACCATCGACCTAGTATGACTAGCTAGCGGTCATGAGAACCCTGTCTCAATGACTATTCACGAAAGACTCAGTCGTGAGTCGAACTCAAACCCTATCTAGGATCGAGTCGCGAATAAGGCTAAGAGCCGTGTATTGCAGTATTGTAAACAACTCTACAGAGACAACAGAGCAACGGCAACACTGTTTGCAATGAGTTACACTTAGTTTTCAAGCTTTTGCAGCACTTGAATCACTGCAGTAGCACCTGCCTCCCCCCACATCTTTTCCAACAGCTGATCTCTGTGAGATTCGTCCAAGTCAGTCAAACAAGATGATGATCCAAGTCAGTCAAACAAGATGGTATTGCTTCCTTGAATCGAGCTCTAGCTAGAGCAATACAATTAATTTGGTGTTAGTAGAATTTTAATGATTACTCTGTAGTAGATAAAACCTACTTGTAACTCAGTCATTGATAGCTAGCTAGTAGCAATAGATCAGCAGCAGCACCACCACCACCACCAGCATGTAGTATTGGTACCAGTACTGGTACTAGTAGTACATGAGTCCTCAGTCAACATGAAATGGAGATTCTTAATAACAAGGCTTTTCAATTTTTACTTTTAATATTTTGACATAAAAGTAAAATTTCATTTTTGTACAGGCTGGTTTCTCTGCGTCCTGGCACAAAGACACACTTGGTACATTTGCGTTAAGTCTTTGAGTCTCTCACTGGTTAAATTTTGGCTACTCGTTAAATACCGAAGAACACTAGGTTCTTCTAAGGACTTAAGAACTTCAACTGACGTGGAAGGTGCCATTCTCCTGAAGGAGCACTGCACCAGGGAAATGGCACCAAATTCACGCGACTCTAATATGAACTCCCGAAGAAACCAGACGGAAGAATAGATCTACCGGTGACATACCGTCGATCGAGACACCGCTTCACCTGAGTTATTGCTCCTCTGCTGAAGTCAATCAACAACACTAATGCTTGCACTCTGTCTTGGTCGAACCATCTTGTGAAGGATTTTGAGCTGCCACAGCATTGGAACCAAGTTCGATCCACACAATTCCAGTGGAAACTGGGTCTTGCCATGGTGTTCAGTGCTGCATTCAGTGGCCAGCCGGTCTTTGGTGTGGCTGTTTCTCTTTTTGCCATCTTTGTAGCCACATCTTGTATTCTCCAGCATTTTTCAAAAAGGAACAAGCCTTGGAAGATAGTTCCAGGCTGGTTGCCCTTGATTGGTCATTGTCACCTCATTGTTGCTGCCAGCGGTGGAACTAAAGTTTGGTTTGCAATGGTGGAAACTATCGAGAAGTGGGCTAACCAATATGGAACTGAGACAGGGTGCTTTGAATTTTACATGTTGGGCACAAGATTGCTGGTGGTCTGCCGGGAAGATCGTGCCAGAGAAATCCTCGCGCTTAGGCCTTTCAAAGTCACTCGCAGTCCAGAGGTTCAAGAAGCAGTCTACAGCGTGGGCGGCAAAGGTGTCTTTGGTGCTGAAGGAGACCAATGGATACAGGAGAAAAAGCTGGTGTCCTCCAGTCTTAATAAAATCCACATGCAGGACTATGTGCCAGCCTTGAGAGAGTCTGCTATTGCCCTGATGCAGAAATGGCGGGTTGACGCTAAGAAAAGGCCAGACAGTGTTGTTACAGTGAAACGAGATATGAGCCATGCACTTGCTGACAGTGTTGCAAAACTGTTTATGGGCCATAATATGGATTGTCTCAACAATCAAAAGTCAGATGTGGCTGCCATGGTCTTTCAGCTCTTGAAGGCAGTATTTCAACGATTTGTCTCTCCGGTCAAATACTGGCGTATTCCTTTCATTGGCCAAGAACTAGATGGATTTGGGCAGTATCTCCGTAGGGGAATGACAGTCATTGATCAAATGATAATGGAGTTTGAAGAGGAGCGTGCTACCAACTCCAAGACCCAATCAAAGACATTTCTTTCTAAACTTTATGATGCCATGGAAAAAGAAAAGTCAAAATTGGACCATGAGAGAATTGTAGGAAACATTGTCACCGCATTTGCTGCAGGTAAGAGTGATTGTCAGTTGCTAGCATATCCTAGGTCTCAAATAATGGTGACATTCACTTACCTTAAACAATTCCTCAAAACAGGTATTGACACTACCTCCTTGACATTGCTATCAGCTCTGTACATTCTGGCAACCAACAAGGAAATGCAGGCCGAATTGAGAGAACACATCACAGACTTTGATTTGGAGGCAGCTAAAATTGATGACTTCTACTCCAAAGCACCTTTGCTCAAGTCCTTTCTCCATGAAGTCCATCGGTACCATTGTAGTCCAATCATAGCACTTCAGCCTACACAAGACATCCCATTTTGTGGTACAACATTGCCCAAGCTTGCTAGAATCATGATCTTTCGAAGGTGCTAGAATCATGATCTTTCTAAGTCACATCATGCTCCAGAAGGACTCACCTGCTGATGGCGTTCCAGCTGGCCCTGATGATGCACCACCACATGTGTTTTCTCATCGCCGATATCTTGCGCCTGTCAATGAGGACAGCACTGCCAGCAACAAGGAACAAAAGTGGCAGTGTGTTGACCCATTGACCAAGGGAATGTCATTTCTCTCCTTTGGTCATGGGGTTAGATCCTGTCCTGGCAGGTCCTACACTGAAATCTTTCCCTATTCTTTTTTGATCAAGATGCTACAGACTTTTGAATTTGAACTAACACCAAACCACCCACTAGTAAAGATAGTTGCTGACACTGTCATGGCTCCAGACAAAGACATCCAGCTCAAGTTGACACCACTCTCCAATGATGAGATGTAGCGCATGCGCCAAGCAGGAGTGAAATAGTAGCAGTTTTGATGTTGCAATGATAGATGTGGTTGGTAGGTAGCTGGGCACATGAATCGAATCAAACTCTGAGCTTCGGTCAGCCAGCTACACGCAACAAAATAGCAACATGTAGTTGCAAAGCGGTTGGGTAGATTCCGATGATTGAATGATGAATCATCCATCATCCTAAGCTGGACCAACGCTGCTGTGGTCACACGAAACTGAAGGTGGGCCTAACAATGAGGCACATATCCGACCCGACTATGAGTGGTTCTATCAAAGCTACCATTTACAGTAGCAGTCCCCACAACCAGAAGCCTACGATCTCTTAGCATTTCTATTGTAGTAAAAGTCCAGTACTTGCGGGCTCACTTTGATGTTGTGGAGCCTTGCCGGCTTGACGAGCCAAAGTCCTTCGAGACTTTGCACTCGGCTCAACGCTACGTAGCACTGCCCGAATTCAAAGGCCGCACTAATGTCCAACATGGCTCGACTCAGCGTAGTTCCCTGGCTCTTGTGAACCGTGAGTGCCCAAGCTAACTTGAGCGGAACCTGTTGCCGCACCAAACAACCGACACCCCCTCCATCGGGATTGTGTCGCACGGCCTCCACAGGAGAGACGGGCATGACAATACCGCAATCGAATCGAACGATTGGAACGGACGCGTCTCCTTGCTGTTCGAAGCGCACCACCACTCCACGGGAACCATTCACCAACTTGCGCTCGACGCTCTTGTTGCGTGTCAGCATGACTTGCGCCCCCACTTTGAGGCGTACCTCGTTGGGCAATTCCAGATTCAAACTCTCGGCCATTTGCTTCTTGACCGCCACGGCCGTTCCAATGGGCAATTGTTCTCTCCACGAGTCTTGTGCGTGACAAACAATTTCTTCCCCTTTCAATTCTGCCAGCCGCGCTTGGTTCTCGGCATCGACATCTTTGTTGAGTGAGTACATGCGCGTGGGGACAATTCCATCCGTCGGCAATGGATGGACGTCTTCGCGAATCACACACCGTTCGTTCAACTGTTGAATGTCGTGTACGTCCACATCACCAATTCTCACCTTGTTGAGCAAGGCGGCAAAGTCCGCATTTTCCTGACGCTGGACTTGCTTCAACTCGATCATGTTTTGGGACAGTCCCAACTCCTCCCAGACGGGCGAATCGAAGCAGAATGGCTTGTTGCCACTGTAATCGCCCTTGACCACGGGAGGCAACTGAAAAAAGTCTCCAAAACAAATGACTTGCATTCCCCCAAATGGCAAGTGGCCCATGGGATTTCCGTGCCGCACTTGTCGTGCCACATAATCCAGCAATTCAATCAAGTCGGACGACATCATGGAACATTCGTCAATGATGAGCGTGTCGGTTTCGACGATTCGTTGAACGGCTTCGGCATTCTTGAGCACTTTTTTGAGAATGGCATCGACATTGCCCGTGCCCAATCCAATACCAAAGAACGAATGCAACGTTTTGCCCGTGACGTGAATGGCAGCCACTCCGGTCGACGCCGTCACACCGACTTTGCGTTTCTGGATGAGTTCCTGTACCAGATACTTGAGCAAGTGCGATTTGCCCGTTCCGGCAGATCCCGTGAGGAAGCCATTGGGGTACGTGGGTGAGAGCAGAAATGCGGCGGCGCGTTGTTGTTCGTCCGTCAAGGATTCCACTGGAATGATGGCTCGTTTGGGAACGGGTTTGGAAGATCGTTGGTTGTTATTGTTGTTGTTGATACCAGCTGTCGTGTAGGGAGCCAGGATTCTCAGAATATCGTCTCCGTAGAGTTCCAATTTCTTGGGTCCAATGCCCTTGACTTGCAACAGCTCCTCTGGAGTAGTGGGTAAATTTTTATACATTTCCTCGAGCGCCAAATTGTTAAAGACTGTGTAGGGAGGTTTGTCGAGCGCCTTGGATTGCAGCAGGCGATATTGCTTCAAGTCGGCTCGTAATTGGGTTTTGCGAATTTTGGTATCTCCAGTGGATGATGATACCCTCGGTTTCCCATGAGTACTGGTGTATTGTCGGACAATGCTGAGGATATCGTCGCCATAAAGCTCCAACTTTTTGGGACCAATGCCTTTGACTTCGGATAACTCTTCCCGCGTGGTGGGTAGCAAAAGAGAAATTTCATCGAGCATGTCATTGCTCAACACGGCAGAGACAGATTTTCGATTCCTGCTTTCGCCCACTTGTTGGCGGCGATATTGCATCAAATCATTTCGGAGTTGACTGACGTTGGGACTTGCGTAGTAGTGGCTTGGAGGAGTGGACCACAAAGAAAAGACTTGTCGTCGTCGATTGGCTACGACGGGTGGAGTGTAGAGCCACTGATTGAAAAGAGGACCCCTAAAGCCACAAGCGCCGATACTACTAACGCATTGTCTTCTGGACAGTCCTGCAAAGGCGGCAGCAAAGAGCATGGTATGGAAGCTATTGGCAGTCAACGCTACCACGAGAAACAACTTCTCTGGTGACCTCATCGTTGGCTTTACTAGAGCATTTGTAGGAGTTGGCTTTGTCTGTACATTTATGTATGTGTGTTGGGTGGCGGCAAATGGATTTTGGGAGAGAACGGCGGGAAATCGCTCAAAGATCTGTGCATTGGACTTCCCTTTGAATTTAGATAAATCGACTTGAAAAATATGTTGGCAGGAGCTCGTGGCAAAAAAATTACTCTGGTCCTTGTGCTACGGTACTACTTTAGAAGGTTTGGTCCAGCATTGAGGCATGGAGTGGATCCTAGTGTCACCTCACGGGGATCCTCCTCATGTCACGGTGGCCTGCTAAGTCGTATTGGGGTGGTTCCAGAAGTGCTGGAACAATGAGTGGGGTATGTGGGCTCAGAGTGTGTGCTTCGGAAGATGGTCCAGCATTGGGGCCTGGACACAAGCGGAATCATCTGATAGTACTTCACTGCTGGGTAGAAAAGCACGGTTGCAAGCTTTGTACTTGTCAGTAGTCTAGTTGTGATTATGCGAAAAGATCTGAGTCCCCGCATTTACAAGCAAGATTGAAAGCAAATCTATAATTTCTTTAGCTAGCTACGGTGGCCTCCCTTGCCCTTGTTGGCCTTGCCCTTGTTGGCGACATGTGTAGCTGGGAGAATGGTCTCTGCAGTCTTTACCATCTTCGCAACACTTTGTGCAACAGCTGCATTCAGTTTCAGAGCAATCAGCGGAAAACTTTTCGAGGCGATTGCATGTGAGAGAACACACCTGGTCCACCATAGGCCCTGTTATTCTGTTTCCTTCAATTCGCAGCTCTTTCAGGTCGCGCAATCTACCAAGCTTGGGCGTGACGATACCAGTGAGCTGATTGTGCGAAAGGACAATTCTTTCGAGCTGTGTCATCCATTCGAAGCATTCAAGAATAGTTCCTTCCAACGCGTTGTGGTTGAGCACGAGACTCTTGAGGTTACGCAAGTCGCAGAGCTCTGATGGTATCCATCCTTCCAAACCATTCATTGCGATTGAAAGATATTCCAGATCATTTAGTAACCCTAGATGAGAAGGTATGGATCCAACCAGACTGTTGTCGGTCAAGTAGAGCCGTTTGAGTCCACTCAAAAAGCCTACTTCTGGCAAAAGTTCACCGTTGAGATTGTAGCCGCCTGTCACACACATTGTACAGTCGTATGCATAGAAAGCACCAAGCGACGTTAGCAAGCAAGCAAGATTCTGACTATGCCCGAGGGACTACCGCATGCACGCACTCACCTAACTCAATCATTTCTACCTCATCTCCATCATCATCGCATTGTACTCCAGCCCAGCAGCACTCGTGAACCCCGCTAAGCCACCGATGGGCGTCTTTTGGTTCATAACGGGCAGCCGCCCCCATTTCAGCTGCTTTGTATTCTTGGTGAACGCAAAAGCTGTTTACATCCGCTTGCTCCACGTCGGGTGGGTTGCACGACAACCACTCCCCATCTTGAGACAACGAAAAGTAGAACAGGGCCATTAAGTACCGCTGCTGCACGCGTGAGACATCCTCCATGGTGGGATCCAATTGCAATGGATCAGAATATAGTATCCACTCCAACGCTCTGACGTAGGGGCTTGATTCTTCCTGCTCGAATATCGAACCTTCTATGAAACTATCTACGAGATCCTCGAACTCAGATTCGAACTCTGCCGAACGCTCTCCTGAATTCGTTGGTATTTCCTCTGCTCGATCGCAAGTAGCCTTTGACTGACCGTCTTGATTTCCATCAGGTCGGTTGTTGTTCCCATTGGAATTGCCTTGGCTCTGAGGTTGTTCGTTGTTGTTGTTGCTGTGTTTGGCCGCTGAGCTTGTGGAGGCAATGTCAAAACTGGCGCAGCGGTCGACGCTACAGCGTTGTCGTTGTTATTGTTGGTCTGCAGTATCACAACTGCCACGACAATGGCCACGACGATCAACACCACCGCACAACAACACACGACGACGACAAATGCAAGGAGACGTCGATTGTTGTTGGAGTCGGCCTCTTTGTCGACTTCCACAGCGGCTTGTACAATGATCGGGCCAGTATGGTTTGCTGTGTTTTGTTCATCGACCAAAACGGCTTCGATCAGATTCGCATGGTCACCGTGCACTCCGTGCCCATCGTCTTCTGCTGGATCGCCGTCGACCTTTCCAGCAGCCCTGTCTTTATCGGTTGTGCTTTTTGCCACCATGGCCATGCTTTTCTCGACGTCTTCTGTCGTTTCTTCCAAGGCACCGACGGGTGGGGAGTCTTTTGCACCGTGCTTGGCGCGGTTTGCGGGCGTCGTTTCTTTTTGCGCAGTACTTTTTCGTCGTCGGCCGCAGATACAGAACTGGCTCCTGGAAGCGAAGCCGGCAGCGGCCTCGTCGAGTGACCTGGTGCGTTCCGGGGTCAATCTGGATCGTTGTCGCTCGACGACACGGGGTTCCATGTTCCTAGCGGAAGGTTCCACCGTGATGCCGTCTCGGGATTTGGACCGTTGGATTTTTCTCCTAACAGGGTCATCATCATGGCTGGCCCCATCGGGAGGG